CACTGAACTTTCCTCATAGAGATTCATTGACTCAATTCATCTCTATGAGGAGATGCTGATTGGCCAGGGCTGTGTTTGAATTGTGCTGGTTCTGCCCGTCATCTGCCTCCTTGTCAGTCTCAGCCAATCCTATGGGGAAGCATTGTGATTGGATCAGGCTACCACTTCTGATGATGTCAGCAGACAGCTTGTTTTTCTGAGGCAAACAACATGCATATCTACAGCTTCAGGCTTGAATACAGTAAGATTTTACTATATTTATGGAGGCATGAGGGACCCAGGGGGGCTAAATGGTGGTTTTAACAGTACATGATCAGGAATACATATTTGTGTTCCTGACCCTATAGTGATCCTTTAAGCATTCAGTCCACTTTAAGGAAAATGTGTTGATGGTTTGTCACTATTACAAATACACAGTTAATACAACTATTTATGTTGAGAGCTAATGACACATCTCTGAAATTATTTTCAAAATGTAAATTTCCAAAGTACAATGATTTACATTATTTTTTTTTTTAAATCTGGAATTTGTCAAACTAAGAAATGATGAAAATCCTTAAATAGAAAAAGTAACTTGTGCATGTGACAGCACAATGCAATGAAGTGATAATACAGAGAAACTGTGGCTAAACATTCCATTTCCATTCTGAAGATGTCTTTGCAATAAGGGAGTAAGACATGGAGTAAAAAAAAACATGAGAATGAGCACATGGGGATTCTGGGAGTATGACTATCACATTGACATAAAGTGTGACTGATTTCTCTCAAATAGGCTTTTCCTTATCAGCAGTTCCTTGACTGAAATGAAGAACAATGAAGATACTTGTGACAAGATGCACATGATTCAGTTAGGTCAAAATTTACACAGTAAGAATTTTTTTTATAGATGAAGTTGCACATAAGGAACTACTGTGTGTGAGAAAGATATAAAAAATACATACTGAGATAGTTTAATGTGTATAAATGTTTCAAAAACCCAGAGATGGCATTCGTCTCCAATAACAGACACTTCACTATTATGCATGCTTATAATACTACATATATATATATATATATATTCACAATGTAGTATAGATAGCACTCCAGGGACTTCCAATGGATAAAATAAAACTTAACTTTTATTGCTCATTACAAAAAAAGATCAACGTTTCAGTTTGTCATTCAAACTTTTACCAGGATGAGCTAATGTTCTAAACGATAATCTTATATACCCACCACCTCATTATTCACTTACGATTTTTGCTATGCACATTTGATTACTTCATTATTTAATATGTTTGACCGCATCTTAGCAAGATTGCTGGTCTATAATGTCTAGAGGTGTTGAAACGGACTTGTTGTCCGGTTTCCTTGGAGATGACCTCTGACGACGTCATGGCGCTGGGCGCACAGCGATGATGCAATCGGGGGCAATTACCGACCCGTGCAAGCTCCGGTTCAGGCAAACTCAGACAAAATCACTGCTCTAATGGGGTAAGTGAATAATGAGGTGGTGGGTATATAAGATTATCGTTTAGAACATTAGCTCATCCTGATGAAAGTTTGAATGACAAACTGAAACGTTGATCTTTTTTAATAATGAGCAATAAAAGTTACGTTTTATTTTATCTATTGGAAGTCCCTGGAGTGCTATCTATCTATACTACAATGTGAATCTATGAATGCTGACAAGCACCGGGCATATAACACCAGTAAATTGGAGTGCTAGACTATTTTTCTATATATAAATATATATATATAAATATATATATATATATATACAAAACAATATATATTGTTTTATTGTTAGTGTAAGTATTAAGGTAGTTAATTGCTAGTGTTAAGATACTGTATGGGTCAATGTTCTGTTAATATTTATTGTTAGTGTAGTGTATGGGTTAATGTGTAGTGCATGGTATTCACAGGTTTAGTGTAGTATGTTAGGATAATGTTAGAGTTAATGTCTAGTAGTGTAATGTGTTAAGGTAATACAGGAGTTAAGTGTGCTGTAGTGTGCTGAGGTAATGCAGGGTTAAATGTGTAGTGTGGGGATTATGGTATAGAGTTAGTGTAATGTAGTGATTAATGTGTAGTACTTACGGGATAATATTTAGTGTTAATGTAGTGTGCTAGAGTAGTGTAGGGGTTAACCTCTGGTGTAGTGTATTACAGTAGTGTAGGGGTTAATGTGTTGTATAGGTGTTAATATTTTGTGGTAGTGTAGCGTGCTAGAGTAGTGTAGGGGTTAATGTGTTGTGTAGTGTATTACAATAGTGTAGGGGTTAATGTGTTGTATAGGGGGTTAATGTTTTGTGGTAGTGTAGCGTGTTAGAGTAGTGTAGGGGTTAATGTGTGCTATAGTGTATTACAATAGTGTAGGGGTTAATGTGTTCTATAGGAGGTTAATGTTTTGTGGTAGTGTAGTGTGGTAGAGTAGTGTAGGGGTTAATGTGTGGTGTTATGTATTACAATAGTGTAGGGGTTAATGTGTTGTATAGGAGGTTAATATTTTGTGATAGTGTAGTGTGTTAGAGCAGTGTAGGGGTTAAGGCGTAGTGTGGTAGGGTAATATCAGGGTGTTTACAGTGGTGTGTTATGTTAATCTAGGGGTTAATGTGCAGTGTGTTACAGTAATGTAAGGGTTAATGTGTAGTTGTGTGTGCTATTGTAATGTAGAGATTAATAAGTAGTACAGTGAGTGAGGGTAATAAAGGGGTTAAGGATAGCATTTAGTACCAATGCTTGAGGACCCTTGTCTCATTCATTTAGTTACACTCCAAACACATGAAGCACTCCAGTTTGTGCTTTGTCTGTGATTGGACAGTCGCAGGCATGTGCAGCTGGTCTGCAAGGGTTCTGAATGAGATGCCTCTGGTCATTCTGCCCGCACATACAAGATATCATGTGCTGGGGAAAAGCGGAGTTCTTGCAGTAGCTGCTGGTACTATATCAGGATTGCAAGCTAAGTTTACATTGCCCTCAAAGAAAATAAGCAAAAATAATTACATGCATGTTTTCTTTCATGTTATATCTATTAAACTGATAATACCTTGTTTTCTCCTAAGTAGTGTTTCTTTAAAAGGACACATTATTTGAGCCTAGATGTATAGAGTTCATACAACACAACATAGTTTTAATTACCCTTCCATCTTGCCTCAGGGGATGGAGGGCAGAAATGGAAAATCTTAGTCTACTGTACATAAATTTAAAGTCTATCCTACAACAGACTACATACATGAAAGGGGCTAACGATTAAAGGGACACTGTGGACTTGATAGCCCTTTCAACTCAATGGTTATAGTGCCTGGAGTTCTCTGGTGCTGTCCCTCTACAGGGAGTGCAGAATTATTAGGCAAATGAGTGTTTTGACCACATCATCCTCTTTATGCATGTTGTCTTACTCCAAGCTGTATAGGCTCGAAAGCCTACTACCAATTAAGCATATTAGGTGATGTGCATCTCTGTAATGAGAAGGGGTGTGGTCTAATGACATCAACACCCTATATCAGGTGTGCATAATTATTAGGCAACTTCCTTTCCTTTGGCAAAATGGGTCAAAAGAAGGACTTGACAGGCTCAGAAAAGTCAAAAATAGTGAGATATCTTGCAGAGGGATGCAGCACTCTTAAAATTGCAAAGCTTCTGAAGCGTGATCATCGAACAATCAAGCGTTTCATTCAAAATAGTCAACAGGGTCGCAAGAAGCGTGTGGAAAAACCAAGGCGCAAAATAACTGCCCATGAACTGAGAAAAGTCAAGCGTGCAGCTGCCACGATGCCACTTGCCACCAGTTTGGCCATATTTCAGAGCTGCAACATCACTGGAGTGCCCAAAAGCACAAGGTGTGCAATACTCAGAGACATGGCCAAGGTAAGAAAGGCTGAAAGACGACCACCACTGAACAAGACACACAAGCTGAAACGTCAAGACTGGGCCAAGAAATATCTCAAGACTGATTTTTCAAAGGTTTTATGGACTGATGAAATGAGAGTGAGTCTTGATGGGCCAGATGGATGGGCCCGTGGCTGGATTGGTAAAGGGCAGAGAGCTCCAGTCCGACTCAGACGCCAGCAAGGTGGAGGTGGAGTACTGGTTTGGGCTGGTATCATCAAAGATGAGCTTGTGGGGCCTTTTCGGGTTGAGGATGGAGTCAAGCTCAACTCCCAGTCCTACTGCCAGTTCCTGGAAGACACCTTCTTCAAGCAGTGGTACAGGAAGAAGTCTGCATCCTTCAAGAAAAACATGATTTTCATGCAGGACAATGCTCCATCACACGCGTCCAAGTACTCCACAGCGTGGCTGGCAAGAAAGGGTATAAAAGAAGAAAATCTAATGACATGGCCTCCTTGTTCACCTGATCTGAACCCCATTGAGAACCTGTGGTCCATCATCAAATGTGAGATTTACAAGGAGGGAAAACAGTACACCTCTCTGAACAGTGTCTGGGAGGCTGTGGTTGCTGCTGCACGCAATGTTGATGGTGAACAGATCAAAACACTGACAGAATCCATGGATGGCAGGCTTTTGAGTGTCCTTGCAAAGAAAGGTGGCTATATTGGTCACTGATTTGTTTTTGTTTTGTTTTTGAATGTCAGAAATGTATATTTGTGAATGTTGAGATGTTATATTGGTTTCACTGGTAATAATAAATAATTGAAATGGGTATATATTTGTTTTTTGTTAAGTTGCCTAATAATTATGCACAGTAATAGTCACCTGCATACACAGATATCCCCCTAACATAGCTATAACTAAAAACAAACTAAAAACTACTTCCAAAAATATTCAGCTTTGATATTAATGAGCTTTTTGGGTTCATTGAGAACATGGTTGTTGTTCAATAATAAAATTAATCCTCAAAAATACAACTTGCCTAATAATTCTGCACTCCCTGTATTAAGTATCACACCATTTTCAAACAGTTTAACACTGAGGGTCCCTGTCTGCCCACAGCCCAGACCCTATTCGTGACATGCATAGGTGTGCGCAGCCTATTGCATTAGGGTGTGCACCCTAAAGCACAAACACACGCCGCATGTGTATGTGTGTGTGTGTATATATATGTATATATATGTATGTGTATATATATGTATATATATATATATATATATATAAACACACACACACATACATACCCTGCTGTGTGTGCTGTTAGTGTGATGTGTGGGTGAGGGTGTTTGTGTGTGTGTGTTTGTGATGTTGCTGTTTGTGTGTGAGGGTGTTTGTGTGTGTGTGATTGTCCTGTGAGGGTGCTGTTTGTGTGAGTGTCCTGTTTGTGTGTGTGTGTGAGGGTGTTGTGTTTTTTTAAAGGTGCTGTGTGTGTTTGTGAGGGATACGGTTAGTGTACTGTGTGTGTGTGAGCGTGCTGTGTGAGCTGTATGTGTGTAGGTGCTGTGGGTGCTGTATGTGTGTGTGTGCTGTTTGTTTGGAGGGATTGTGGAGGTGGGGGCAGATTAGTAAATATCCCCCCTCCCTACTGACCTTATGTAGGGAGGGGGGATCCTTGCTGCCATGTGCCATCCCTGGTGGTCCAGTGGAGAGTGAACTCTAGCCTGCGGGGCTAGAGTTAACTGTAGCGAGATCTGAGCGTTTCGGTGGCAACGCTCAGGTATCGCAAGAGGAACCTGGCGGAACTGCTGTCTAGAGCTCCCTGGGTCCTCTCCTGCCTCCCTCCATGCTGCTGTGGGCCAGTGAGGTAGATCTTTGGTCTCCCCGCTGACCCATGGAGGCTTAGAGCAGAGCCGGCACTCAGATAGCGCCGGCTCTGCGTGAGCCGACAGGGGAGATCGGGAGATCTCCCCTGCCGGCAGGGTACAAGTCCTGTGGAATAATGTGTGGGAACTCTCCCAAGATTCCCCCCCCCCAAAAAAATAACATACACTCGTGTCTGTGTGTGTATATATATATATATATATATATATATATATATATGCGTACACACACTCACAGACACATTCACAGACACACACACATACACTCACAGACACACACTCATACATTCACAGACAAACATACACTCACAGACACTTACATACATTCACAGACACACAGACACACACATTCACAGACATACACACACATTCACAGACATACACACATACAGACACACACACAGTCACAGACACACATTCACACACACACACACATTCACAGACACACACACACTCACACACAGACACACATACACATACAAATTATTATTACCTACCTGGAGTGCTGGCGTGGACTTGTCCCTGGGGTCCAGTGCGGCGGGCGCCTCTCTCCATCTCAGCCGTGGCGAGGGAGCTGTGTGCTCTCTGCTTCCTCTCACCGCGCGGGCTGTCTACAGTAGCTGGGAGCCGGAATATGACGTCATATTCCGTCTCCCGGCATCAGCAAACGGCGTGCGGCAGGTGCAACATGGGGGGCAACATGGGGGGAGGAAGGGGGGCAAATGGGGGCACTCAAAAAAAGTGCAGGAACGCTGTTCCTGCAGGACTCAATCCATAGGCGTGCCGCGGGGATTAGGGTGTGCCCAGGCACAACCGGCACACCCCGTGCGCACGCCTATGGTGACATGGTTAAGTCTACACACCTCCTTCTAGACATACCATTTCATACCAGCAATGTGCGCAATAATAGGCTAAAAGAGGTAATTTAATGATCTTAGCCAATCACAGCTGCCCATTACTGCTCAGGCTAATGTTTCCTCATTAGCCCAGGCAACACAGAAGCAATGGTCTGTTGGGCATGTGGCTCTTGTTTAGCTTTAAAACATAAAAAAAAAATTTACGCCTTGGGTCTCCAGACACTATAACTACTCCCAAGAGATTAAGCAATTACAGTGTCTAAAGGGTTCCTTTAAATTGTCCTCCAAAGCATTGTTTGCAGATTCCATATGATTCCATATATACTGAATCAGTTAGAAAAATGTAATTATCCAGGTAAAAGTACTTGTTCAAGCATTAGAAATATTCAGTTACTGGACGTTATAGATGAGGTTTTTTTTTTAGGGCATGAAGTGAAGCAAATATGAAGTCACCGGTCATAATACATTTTTCATTTATTTGTTCGGTTACTACTAAGTAGAGAAGGGAAGTATTAAATAATATTGGGTGCCAATGACTGCCTAAGAGTCCACTGTTTTCGAATGGTGTAACATCTTAAAGGGACACTATAGGCACGCAGAGCACTTCAGCTCATTGTAGTGGTCTGTGTGCAATGCCTCTGTCCCCTTAACCCTGCACTTTTAATTATTGCAGTTACTAAGGTAACATTATAAAATAGAGGAAAATCTATTTTTTATCTTCTTTTATTTATCTAATAATTCCATAGTGTTAATGTTTTGAAATGTGTGTACATACTCCTGTTGGGAACAAAATTGCATATATTTGCTCTGGATGCAGTTCCATTCATCTCAAAGTTGTCTAATCAGATATTTTGTTGTTGTTGGTTGATAGTGGATTTCAAAACCTTATTCATATATCATAGTCAGTTTCTACAAGCAGTGCTGGCACTCACACAAGGTACTTAGAATTGAGTCTGTTTTGCATTATCTGATTCTTAAATTATATATTAACATTGTTCAATATCACCCTGTACGGGTGCCAAAGGGAGAGCTGGCCAATATATCAAATTATCTTGTGTCATTGTGAGGGCTAGAAATATGTCCACATCAAAATCACATTAGCATTTCTTGTACTAAACAAACACTTAGGATTTGGGATAGGTACCAATTCACTACAATGGTGAAAAACCAAGATTAATAATCCTAATAGTATCACAACCTATTGCCTATTGAGGTTTGAGTTTCAAAAGTATAAAATGTATTCACATCTCTGTACTCAGTATCGCCTGTAAGTGATCCCTGTCTTCTCATCTGCTCCCTGAACCCTATCCCTTCTGCAACTGAACCTCAAGTCAGCAAGAATATCCCCCATAAAAAGCTAATACACTGCTATATGAAGTAATAAAACGATTCCATTTTGTGTATTTATTACAATTTGAGGATACAGAATTTGTTTACCTAAATGCTTAATTAATGTTTTTCCCATGTTCAAAAGTACTGTTTCTGCCCCTTGGACTTTTAACTGGAACAGATTCAAACATGTGGCGTCGGCCATCTTAAATTGTCCAGCAGTGTTTTGCTGTTGAGTGTATGTAACTATTTGAGGCATGGGACCATGTGCACGGTGGGGCAAAAATAAGACTTCCAGGAAATTCTTGAACCCCTGAACTGACCTTGGTGATTTTTGGATATGTTGTTCACCCAAATCGGAGCTAAGAGAGAATGTGAGGGATATGTGGGAATATGTTGTATTTTGGGGTACTTTTTGGGGTTTGTAAAAATGTATGTTTTTTTCTGCTTAGAGTTAATTGAGTTAGTCCATTGTCTTCGTTAATTATATTACAGGCAGAGGGGAGGGATTGTGTACACTGTATGGGAGTGACTGAATGTAAAACTATGTTTTTATTGGCTTGTTGTTCCTGTGACCCTGTGGCCCACAAGGACCACCTGGGTGGTAACCTTGTGGGGAAAACTGTATAAAAGACCAAGCTGTTCAATAAACCCTCAGATCTGCTGAGTTCCTGTTTTACCCTCAACATAGAGCCTCGTCTCGTGTGGGGGAGAAAGGCTGCATCTAACCTGGGGATTGCTATCTCACTATACTCCCCAGGGATCATAATCACTAAGCTCTTTTAAGAGCTTGCTCCTGCTACTCTCTCTTGGAGGAGAGGATCACCCACTGGAACTTGGAGCCTTGTCGTAGGTCCAGGGTGGGTAGAGGTCGGCGAGTTCCCAGCCAAGCTGGAACACTGGATGTGGGGACTGAGGTGCTGATGGTGTCTGGTGGAGTGCTTGGAGTCCTCAGTAAGCACTAGGAGCATCCATCGGCGGAGGTACCCAACCTGGGCACAGGAAGCACTGTTTCAAACCCCTTTGATCATCAGAATTGGCAATCTCACCCAATCCAATGCTTTCCTATAGAAAAGCTTTGTGATTGGCTGAGACCATCACTTCTGATGATGTTAGACAAGGAGGCAGATCAGGGGCAGAGCCAGAACCAGCAGACTGAAATAATAGTAAGATTTTATTATATTTTGGGATAGGGGGGAGGTGGCAGGGGGCGTCTAGATAGTGGTTTTAACACTATAGAGTCAGGAATACATGTTGGTGTTCCTGACCATATAGTGTTCCTTTAAGCTTGGACAAAACATGGGCCTTTTCTCTAACTAAATAATTTGTCTGCTATTCCACATAATACTTTTTTGGCATATTACATGAATTATGACTAGCTAGCGAAGTGTTGGTCTGTCATCATGAGAGTGGAAAAGTATAGCCAGAATATTGACTGAAAATCCAGTATATTAACTGAAGTTGCAGTGCCTTGGCTTGGTATAATATTATTTTACATTGGTAACATTTTGAATGTGCAGGAGTAGTGAAAAAATGCAAATTAACAAGCATAAAAAAGGCAGTAAATTGCTGTGCTGAGCATGACTAGAGTTGCAGTTTCCAGAAACTGAAGAATTAGAATTCAACAGATCTAAACAAATTATTATTAAATAGTTTATTCTTTTGGAATGCAAATTATGGGAAGCTATATCAGATTCTGCAAACTAACAGGAAGAGTCTAACGGCCAAGCAGCCATTAGTGTGTTTATTCTGCGCTCAATAAGGGCAGGATGTAAAACCGGCAAATTTTATTAAACCTTAAAGCAAAGTGGTTAAACTTTCTCAAAGGATATCCAATTCCTACACACCCAAAACAAAGGAAATGAGGGCTGCATGTGCTTCTTAAAAGTCCAATTTAAAAAAGAATTATGGTCTAGAAAGACTAAGATGTTCTGTAAAACGCCCGGGATGGGAGGAGAATGTGCAGGATCCATTAACGTTTACCATGAATGACATCTAAAAGCATTAGCATCGGTTGCAAGGTTACTTGTTCTTCCTGCTCAGGGAATACTGCCGGTTCAGACACTTACAATAATGATCGTTAACCCATTAGAGCTTTATTCACTTGTTGTCTATAAGTGATAAAAATGTATTTAAATTATAGAACAATCATCAAAACCTTGAATGTCTTTAATATTTTTAAATGTTAATTGACATTTACTAAATACTGAATACAGCCTCTAAACTGCGGAGTGATTAGATTGTAAATTGCTGGG